GGCTATAAATCTTTTATGGAAGCAGACTACCTCATCCTCCTTCCATGGAGTGGCTGGTGGGTTTGAACCATCAACCTTCTGGTTAGCAGCCAAATGCTTTACCCAGTACACCACCAGAGAGTTTTAAAAATGGTCTCAATATTTATAATGGAGATTAAAATATTTATAATCCATGTTTGTGGTTGTCATAACCCAATCCCAAAACCTTCTGCACGTAGATACTGAGACAAGTCCATTAGGGAGACAGTTCATGGCCTCCAGCCTTAATGCTTTTTAACTATGGCTAGACCAGTCTAGTGGTCTATCAGGAGAACACTGGTGGTTCAGTGGTAGAATTCTGCCCCCTTCCACGCAGGAGATGTGGGTTCGATTCCTGGTCAATGCAGCTCACGTGCAGCCACCCCCACCTGTCAGTGGAGGCTTTGCGAAGCTGCTGAACAAGTTTCAGTGGCGCTTCCAGATTAAGGCAGATCAGGAAGAAAGGCCAGGTGATCGGCTACCAAAAATGACACAATGGAAACTCTGGGTCACAACAGCCTGATCCCTATCTGATCAAGGGGCCGGCCCAAGACAGGGCAACATTCTGTTCCCTTGTGTATGGGGCTGCTGTGAACAGGGGCCAGCCAATAGCTAACAACAAAAGGACACCTCTGTTCAATCATTTGCTTTCATTTCTGTACCAAGCCCTAGTCAGGGAACTTACTACTCCCTCCAGTGAAGACGGGGAAACTGGCTCCGGGAGCCTGGCCTAAGACTGCTCATCAAGGAAGTACAAGAATAAGGAGACTATCCTTGCCGGGCCTCCACCACTGACCAGCTAGCGACTCTGAGCACATGATGCCAGCCCGTGAGCTCCAGTGTCCTCCTCTAGGACATGGGGATAGCAACAGGGCCCCCACCCTGGGGCTGTTGGGAGACTCAGGTGAAATGGACTAAGGTATCAAGAGCTCACATACATATCCGCCTCGTGATTTCCCCGGGATCAGGCCTCACAGTTCACTGAGAACCAAACCACCCAGGACATTTTCTCCACTCTGTGGAACGATAATCAGACACTACTTGGAAAATTACCCATGATATTTTCAGGTTTCCTGGAGACACACATTTCCAGCCCTTGCCTGTTTCTGACTTGAACTTCCATGGTGTTTCAGGACACTGATATACATTCAAGTCAAATCCTGACATCATCAGGACTCATGGGATGTTTGTTGTTGGCAGATGCCATCAAGTCAGTTCTGACTCAGCAACACTATGTACAACAGAATGAAACACTGCCCAGCCCTGCACCACGCTCACAATCATTGCCATGCCTGAGTCCAGTGTTGCAACAACTGCGTCAAGTCATCTCGTTGACACATCAGACCTCATGGGATACATATGGAAAAAACAGTGACAGGAAGAAAAATATATATCTATAAATAAACATGAGAAACCCATACTCAAAAACAGAGCTGTCATTCTGATCTCCCCAAATCAGGATCTCAGTGATGGAACGGATGGTCTCCACCAGCAGGTTCCGGTTCTGTTCTGTGACTGTGGTGTTTTTGGTCAAAACGTGGTACAGATACCTAAGAGAAAGGGAAAACACAAGATGAAAGATTACCAACTGCAATAAAAGCCAGGCCCAATGACCATTAGTGATATTTTGGGGACAGCACACTATGCTTTTTCAGATTCAGTTAGCACAATTTCCCATTCAGACTGGCCATAACTCACCACTCAAGAAAGATGGCCAATAATGCTTTGAAGCATTAAATAACCCAGTTGAAAGACAGAAAATAACAAATGCTGGCGAGGTTGTGGAGAGATTGGGACTCTCATACACTGCTGGTGGGACTGTAAAATGGTACAACCATTG